TGCGCATTTCCATCTCGTAACCCTGGCGCAGCCGGTCGACAATGAATGAAATGAGTAGCGTCCAGCTACGTATCGTTTCTCTGTGACGTCTCCAACCTTCCCATTCTCGCGCTGCTTCGGTCATTGTCGAACCGAACATGTCCCAGTACTCTATTTCGAATCCGTACGCTTTGAAGCGGGCATGTTTCGCGCCGTGTTCGATCCACGTTGGAATCAGTACACTCAGATCATCAATATTCTTGATCGCATTATCTATAAGCTCAACAAACAGCAGACTGTGATGCTGATAAGCCTGAATCGGAGTTAATCCGGCGCTGAAAACCCCTTCCAACACCGTGATGTGCTGAAAAAGTTGCTTGATGCTGCGTTGTTTCGTTAATAAGCGCCGAAATATCATCGTTCCTATGTTGCGAATGCCGGTTTTGTTGATACGCAACCATGAATCCCTGAGCAAAGTCTTTTGATAGTTGCTGAGAATCACAGTCACCTTCTGTGTTTCGTCCTCCATTGTCAACGGACGTTGTCGCATGCTTTCTTGAAGTGATCGATGTGAACCGGTTTGTTGATTTCCCATGAAAGAATAACGATCACTTTACGGTGCGACGAAACTGTGTCTCTTGATGGTGATTTCGGCGTCGGTCATAATAATTGCTCCAGTGGTGGGGCGCATATGGTTTGCACCTCTGTCCCTTCGGTTTTGTCGCAAATCTGATATGTGCAAATCAGCGTATGGTTGATACAAATATTTCACGGCATGAATCAGTCAGGCATTTCCTAAATCAAACTGGTCATTTTTTATCGCATCGCATATAGATCATTTTAATACTACACGACCACATTTTCAGCTGATTCTGTCGGCGTTCTGTTATTTGAACAGTTATCAAAATCAAGTCATCGACCTCTTTGGTTTTAAAATTAATTTCGCATAAATTAACAAGTTATCATGATGTCACGGTGAACTTTTGTTCAACCCTTGATGAGCAAAATCAGACGAATTTATGATGAAGATTGTTGGTGTCGGTGAGCGGCTGCATGCCGATTTCGCTGTGCTGCTCGCAGCTGGCGACGTCTGTGCGATGAAAGGTCTACATCCGTTTTGCGGTTTCAATTGTTCTACTGAAAAATCTGGCCTGCTACAACTGCTGATCGTCAGACATCATAAATCTCACTTAATCGTATCTCAGCTAGCCTTTGATGACGGTGACAAAATAACAGCAATAATTAGCAGTTCCTAATCACTCGAATAAACTTTCTTCATTTAACGGGCCAAAGCGAAGTAAAACGTGTGCTTTTTCCCGATGGAGCAAATCACCGTTTCAGAAACTAAAACTAATATGTATTTATAAAGAAAACGCGGACCGGACAATGGCACAAATATCCTATCGCGGCTATCAAGTGGAACTATTAACACTATTGTTTCGATAAAATGTCTGTATTGATAAATCAGTTCAGCTGTAATAATTGATAATGGTACCTTCCAGTTACGTACTGAAGGAAACTTTAATGCAGTATAGCCGTGTTCATCCGAGATCACTGAAACTCATTGAACACGTCACGAATGTTTTTGATCTTTTAGCTTCCTACGGAAGGCTCTCATCGATATGCTTTTCCTGCATCATAGTTTTCTACCTATCGGCAAGGACTAAGAAAAAGAATTTTACTATATGCTAGCCGCTTTCGCACGTACTGTCCATCCCCTAACACGACAAATTACTAACCTTGAAAAACGAGAATATTGACGCAGTTGTCGACGGAATCAGTATGAAGAGGGTCGTGGAGAGATGGCAGCTCTAATCGAATACTGCCCTTTCACCTGGCAAACTGATTAGTAGTTCGAACACAAGTATTTATAGCTGAATTTGAATCTCAAACGACACTCGCGCAATGAAAGAAACCTACCACGTCGTCACTCGAATAATAGGCCACCGTCTATTTTAGCTCTACTTTTTTTCCCAGGAGTTGAGACAGCAGCAGCTATAAACCATAGTGGTCAGCAGGATGATACTATACCCATACCATTCGTACAAAGAAAAGCAGCTAATCATGCAGTGCAACTTGTAGCGCCTTCTTCCGGCAATAATGTACTAGAGTGACGCTTCATCTTGTTAACTAATCGTTACCAACCTGTAGGAGGTCTGTGATGATGGAGGAAGCGAGAGATGGGGCAGCTTTCTGATCTAGTGGCTTTCGACTACAGAAGAATAAGCCATGATTAAGATGATAAGAAATTTCACATCATCACCGAAAACGACATGTAAAGAAAATCTTGACGAAAGTAAGGGCAAATGCTGTAAAGGTAGTCTATTACGGCAAGCTGAAAAAGAGACCGAAAATGCCCTACAACGAAGCAACATGCAACGGCTATGCTGATGTGATCAACAGGCGTCATTCGAGTTTGCTAACAGATTATGAAGACCTAGCTAATAAATAAAACACTATAATCGTAGCTGTAGCAATGTTTTCGTTTCCTCACTCACAGAGATCCTACTGTCATAGTACTAGATACAATTTCTTGTAGGTGATCGATCTGGATGTCGGAGAGGCCTCTGATGCATACAGCAGTTAGGTGCTGTACGGGATGCTAGAACGTATGGCAATAATACATTTTCTTAAGCTTAATCTGCTGGTTTCACACGGATAGTGGCGTCAAGGTTTGTTATGGAAATCACATTTGAAACATCGTCATCGGCCCTTTCCGATACACTGCTGGATAAAGCGCTCTCTAATTCATGACAAACTTGTTTTGTGTTTTTTTTCGTCTTAATCCAATGAACTTCTCAGTTCGTGCTGTCATCGATCTGGAAGTCTTCATACGGACCATGTCCAGTTTACTGTTCAGTGTTGACACTCGCTCCTTTGGAATGCAGTTTAGTATCTCTCTGGTCTATCGATGGTCTGTACCACTGCAACATGTCCTGTCCATTGCCGTTTAAATGTCGTTACTTGAGCAGTAACACCGTCAATTTTTTTTATATGCTTTTATTCATTCATTAGTTTTCCTACCTGCTCTTGTAATTCCAAACATATCTTTGCATTCTACGTTGCGTCATCTACAGCTTATGTAAATGCTTGACAGTTTCCAGTCTTAGCGTCCATGTTGACGGTATTTTTACTGTTTTAGGTAGCCACTAAACCTCTCCGCTTGAGACCTGCACAGCGTCTGACCGAAAAATCACAAGTAATAAATCCCTCTTGCAGAAAACGTGATATGAACTAGAATATCAGAAATATAAAAGATCAGCAACGGTGCTAACTTTCTCGAACAGTTTGTCCCAAGAAAATGGATATAGACATCAGATATTTTCTCCGTCAATCGGACAGATTCTATGGTATCGGCGTTTATCTGCATGAGAGCAAAAAATATATACCTTACTGTAGATTTCGACAACGTAAAATCGACGCCAGCGCAGCAGGATCGAATACATTCATTTTGGTAACGATACCGTATACGCTGCGCTCCCTTTAACATTACGGTGGCAGCAAGAACCTGATGCATCTTTGCGGCAGTCGAACGGTATAAGTTACAACTCAATAAGAAGTGAACCTTGACCATCCTGATTCTAGCTGAAGAACATAGGCAATAATCTGCGAAGTAGACAACAGAAAAGACAGACTAGCACGGAAAATGACTCGACTGCCATGAAACTTTCAAGATGTCTGAGCATCCGGTAATTATATGTATTTGTAGCGTCGAGTGAAGATTGTGAAAGCCAGTAGATGGCGCCCC